AAGTATGTGGGTCAAAGTCAAAGGAGTCAGAAACGAAAGTGGTTTTCTCTTTGCTGTATACTAGAGACCACCTGGCCAGAAAGTGGAAATAGATGAGGTTGGGAAATAGATCACAAGCCTGGCACAAAGACAGCATGGAGCAGTGAGAGGGGACTTTGGTTATCCAGACATGTGCTAGAGCGCTTTTTGTCTTTGTCTTTCTCTGTCTCTCTCTCCCTTCCCCCTACCTCTCTCTGTCTCTCTGTCTCTGTCTGTCTCTGTTTCTCTGTCTAGCTGTCTGTCTCTCTCTATCTCTGTCTCTCGCTGTCTCTGTCTCTCTTTGTCTCTCTCTCTCTCTGTCTCTCTCTGTCTTTCTTTGTCTCTGTCTCTGTCTTTGTCTCTGTCTCTGTCTCTCATCATATTCTTGGCTAACCAGACTGGAAGACTAGTTGTTAAATGCCTCACTACCACTTTAGTAGGAAGTCTCCAGTGGAGTGCTCCAGGGCTCTGGTCTTGGCCCTGTATTATTTAACTTCTTTATCAGTGACTTGAATAAAGGAGTAAATGGTCTGCTCTTTACAGGTACAGATGACACCAAGCTGGCTAAATGACTGAGTCTGGATTTTAAAAGATATTGAGAGTTTAGAATGGAGCATTTGGTTGAATCTAAGAGGGTGGAATTCAGGAGAAAGAGAGGTGGTCTTACACTTGGTTTCAAAAAATCAACCTCACAAGCACAGGATGTGGGAGGGCAGGGTTAGAAAGCAGTTGGTCTGAAAAAGATCTAGGGGTCTTAGTGGGCTATATGTTTGGTATAAGTCAGCAGTGGGATGTGGCAGCCCAGACAGCTTTTGGGACTTTGGACCACACCAAGAGGGGCGGAAGTGGGAGTCCCTCTCTATTCTGCCACAGTAGCTAAAGGATCGTACCACCTGGTGGAGAGATTACATATTACACTCCTATTATGGTTAATTATATACAATTAATAATTGCATATAATAAATTATATATAATTAATGATTGTATAATATGTAATCATTGTATAATTATATATAATAAATTAGATATAACTGTTTTATAATTACATATAATAAATCAGATATGATTAATAAAGGAGAAGCCAATTTTCTGTAGGTTTAGAGACAGCAGGATGTGAGCCCATGGAGGTGCATAGACGAGGGCAGTGCCCCAGATGCCACCCAGGCCATCCACCAACTGTGCTCATGATCTAACCCTGTGTTAGAAATACATTTGTGAGACCATCCTTGTAAGAGCTGTGGGTAGCAGTGTCCTAGCCACTGCAGGCTTTAGAGCTGGCTCGTGTCACAAATCCTCTTCCTCTTAAAGGAGTCCCAGACAGATGAAGTGTGGGAGCAGCTAGGTGGCACAGTGGATGGAGCACCGGCCCTGGAGTCAGGAGAACCTGAGTTCAAATCTGGTCTCAGACACTGGACACTTACTAACTGTGTGACCCTGGGCAAGTCACTTAACCCCATCACCTAGCAAAACAAAACAAACAAAAACAACAAAGAGATGAAGTGCCAGACCCAAAGTCACACAGGCAGGAAGTGGAAGAATGACAAAACCAGAGCTCTTTCCACTTAGCCATCTTGCCTTCCACTAGGCAGTACTTTAAAAAGCAAACAACTTTCTTCCTTGGAAGATCTCAGAGCATTAAAGGTAATTAGAAAAATGCTGCTTCTTTTTTCCTGACCCCAGATCCCATCTGAGACAATTCAGACTTGTCAATGACTGACAGTCTCTTGATTCTTGTTTTTATTGAACCCACTGGCAGTAGCAGGAGAGGGCTCCTTTGTGGTGCTGTCCTTGTTTCTGGCACAGTGTGAGAGAGCACTACCGATGGGGGCTCGGATGGCATCTGACTACTCTGGCTTGGTCTGAATTTCCAGCCAGTCTGGCCACCGCTGGAATGTGGGCTTGGCTTGTGAGGAGCCCCAGCTCTGAGGCTGTCCCTTTGGGATTGGGTTGGTGACCTAGGACAGGCCACCTGGCATGGTGCTCAGAGAGCCAGATTCAGGTCCTGCCTCAGGGGGTCATTCTGTCTGTGTGTCCAGGCAGGTCTCTCTAATACAACCATGGCAGGGCAGCTGAGAGTCTTCACTGGTAGAAAGAGTTTACCTACCAAGGACTTCCCTACCCCTGTGGAATCACGGGTCCAGTGCAAAAGAGAAACAAAAAGGTGACTGAGGGATCTCAAGTTTGCTTTCATCACTTCTAACCAATTAAGGAGGAGAAGGCATAGGAGGCATTTGAAGGACCCTCAGGCTCTCACCATCAAGAAGTCACGCGGCTTTCTTCTCCTGAAAACTCAGGTCCGCCTTCCCATCGCAGCCAAGCTCATGGATCCAAATGGTGAGAAGTGTGAGGCACTGATGCCAGTGGGCTGCCCGGGCTGCCCAGGGGCGAAGAGCTTGATGAGGACGGCCATGCTTGCTCTCCAGGGACCCTGCTCAGGCTCCTGATTCAGCTGATGTGGGTGTGGGTGCACATGCGTGCCTCCACGAATGGAGGCTTTTCTGGGGGTGTGCGCCCTGTGTACCTCTCCCTCCCCGCATTGACTCAGGTCCTGAGGTTTTTCTTACCACTTCCTAATCTCTGGTCCTCAGGAATTGTGGTGGCCTGAGCCTGGCTGGTCCTGGGACATCAGATACACAGTCTGACCCCAGGCCAATCCTTCAACCTTCCTCACCTGGGTACAGCCTGCCAAGACATGCCGTGCTGGGGTTATGGTCTCCTCTCTGAGGCTTTCCTCTGTGTGTGTGTGTGTGTGTGTGTGTGTGTGTGTGTGTGTGTGTGTGTGTGTGACAGACATATTTTCTCACTCATAGCAGAGAATCAGTCAACATTACTTAAGTGTCTACTATGTGCCAGGCAGTGTGCAAGGACAAGGGATATTTTTTTGGGTATTTTTTGTATTTTGTATTTTTTTTAATTTTTAACATGTGTTTTTAAAACTTTGTGTTCTAAATTTTCTCCCTTCCTCCTTCCCCACCCACCCTCATCGAAAAGGCAAGCAACTCGATACAGGTATAGATGTGTAGTCATGCAAAACACTTCCATAGTAGTCCTGTTGTGCGAAACTAAGTATATTTCCCTTCAGCCTATCCCCCCCCCTTTATTCTATTCTCTCTTTTGACCCTGTCCCTCCTCAAAAGTGTGTGCTTCTGATTACCCCCTCCCCCAATCTGCCCTCCCCTCTATCAGCCCCCTGATCTCCTGTCCCCTTCCCCCTTATTTTCCTGTAGGGTAAGACAGATTTCCTTACCCAATTGAGTGTGTATGTTATTCCCTCCTTAAGCCAAATCCTATGAGAATAAGATTCACTCATTCCTTCTCACCTTCCCCCATTTCCCCTCCACTGTAAAAGTCTTTTCTTGTCTGTTTCATGTGAGATAATTTACCCCATTCTACTTCTCCCTTTTTCCTTCTCCCAGCATAATCCTCTCTTGCCCCTTAATTTTATTTTCCAGATATCACTCCTTCATCTTCAACTCACCCTGTGCCCTCTATCTATCTATCTATCTATCTATCTATCTATCTATCTATCTATCTATCCATACATACATGTAATTTTTTTCCCTCACGCTACCCTAATACTGCCAAAGGACTCATGAGTTACAAATATCTTTATTCCCTGCAGGAATGTAAACAGTTCAACCTTAATAATGATTTCTCTTTCCTGTTTACCTCTTCCATGTTTCACTTGAGTCTTGTATTTGAAAGTCGAATTTTCTATTCAGCTCTGGTCTTTTCCTCAGGAATGCTTGAAAGTCCCCTATTTCACTGAATGACCATTTTTTACCCTGAAGGATTATACTCATTTTTGCTGGGTAGGTGATTCTTGATTGTAATCCTATCTCCTTTGCCCTCCGGAATATCATACTCCATGCCCTCTGGTCCCTTAATGTAGAAGCTGCTAAATCTTGTGTTATCCTGATTGTGTTTCCACAATACTTGAATTGTTTCTGGCTGCCTGCAATATTTTCTCCTTGACCTGGGAATTCTGGAATTTGGCTACAATATTCCTAGGAGACAAGGGATATTTAAAAAGGCAGTAGACAGCCCCTGCCCTCAAGTTGCTTACAATCTAACGGGGGAGACAAGGTGCAAAGCAAGCTCTCCACAGGACAGACACTTGGCACCTGCACTTCTGGACACATCCCTTTTACAAAGCCTTGTTAAAAACGCACTCAGGGAGTTAGAGTAGAGGGCTTCAGGGATCCTTCAGGCTTTTTCCTTTGAAATCAGGACTCCTGGAAGGTCATTGTCCCACCTCCTTTCTCTCTCTTTGTTTCTGTGCAGACAAGAGACTTTTCTGCATCCGGTGAATGGTTTTCAGCTCAACTGGGCGATGATCTTTAGTCGAGCCCAGCGGGTGCTGGTCTACTCAGATTCCCTCCTTTCGTTAGGGATGCTTCCAGTGAAAAGGGTGGGAGGGTGCCGTGGTTAGTGAAGAATCTTGTAAGCAGGGCATGTGGGTCTCCATGGAAAGAAAGGAAAGGAGGCCTGAGGACCAGTCCCTGGGATGACTGTGGGAGTAGGCATGACTGGATGCTGGGGGCCACGTACTGAGTCGGGGTGGGCACAGCTTCTCCTCCATTCAAGCTAAGGTGGAGCTGAAGGGAAGGGAGGAGCATGGGCCTTGTAAAGGACTGAAGAGGAGGTGTGCCCCCCCATCCTGTGACCAGTAACATCAGGCTTGGGTAGGGAAGGAAGATGTGGGACAAGGCCTGGGATGCCTGGGGAGGGCTCCGCACATCAGAGGCTCTCTGTATCATGTCTGTACTTACGTCTGTGCATCCGTCATGAGGAAAGGGAGCTAGCACCAGGAGGGCTGCTAAAATATGGTCCTCGTGGGGCTTGGGAGGGGGTAGCGGTGGGAAGGAGGGGTTCCAACCTGCATCGCTGGAACAGAAAGGCTGTCCTGGTGGCAGCTGCTGGGCCTGGAGCAGCGGGGGGGCCTGGGGCTCACTGTCTGCACTCTGACCTCTGCCTTTCAGTGAAGTACGAAGAGCTGTTCTGTTTCTCCTTCAACCCCAAGCTGGACAAGGAAGAGCGTGAGCAGGGCTGGACGCTGGTGGATCTCCGTGAGGAGTACAAGCGCATGGGCGTCCCCAACAGCTACTGGCACCTCAGCGATGTCAACAGAGACTACCGGGTGAGTGTGGCGGACGGGCCAGTGGGGCCGTGCCGAGGCCCTGCCACTTAGAGACCTGGAAGGCCCGACCTCCCTCCTCTCATTCTAAACCTGGGCATTAGTGGGGCAAAGCTGTGGGCCGGCAGAGGCCGAGAGAGCTGGTCAGGGCACTTGTTGGCCAGCTCGCCAGTCCCTAGGTGGTCAGTGTTCTCTTGTGCAAAGCAGGTGCTATAAAGAGGCTTATTCCCTCCCCTCCCCTCATGTAGCTGATCTGCTTTTGTCTCAGGGAGGAGGATGATCTCCATCCACCCCAGCTCTGCTTTGAGACCTTAAACAAAACTCACTCCCGTTCCCTGCCCCACCCCACCTCCCTCTCCAGTGGTCTCCAGGGCGCTTTGGGGCTCTGGGATTCTAAAATGGAATCTTCCCTCCACGACTTCTGCTAACAGCCATGTCAAATGTGCTTTAACTTTGATGGGAAGATGATTAAAAATGCTCTCCACCCGAGAGAGAGAACCAAGGGCGTCTGAGTGCAGATCAAAGCATCATTTTTTAATTTTCTCTATTTTTCTTGCTTTTTTTGTGCAGTGTGGCTAATAGGGAAATGTGTTTTGTGTGATTTCATATGTGTGATTGCTCTCACATTGCTTGTGGCTGGGGAAGGGAGAGAATTCAGAACTCACAATTTTAAAAATAAATGTTAAAAATAGATAAATAATACATTTATTTTAAAAAAAATTAAAAATAAAAACATAACTGGAAAGTTTCTGTAGACTCAGACCCAGAGAAGCCTGGTCCTCATTTTCAGGCTTTTGTGCTGGGCGTTCAGTACTAAAGGTAAATCTAGAAGTCAGTGTTCACAAGCATGGAAAGTGTGGGGGCTTTCAAGGAACTCATTTCTGCCAGGAGAACCCTGGAGTCATCCGCTGGGAAGGGACCTGAGAGTGTCTGATGCATTTCACTGTAGTCCTATTGGTGTTTCTAATCATGATAAATGCCTTATCAAGTAAGAATATGATTTCTCTAAAAGAAAGAAAGTGCAGGGCATGTTTATAGGCCAGGAGGTGGCTGGCAAGAGTAGTGGGGAGAGGTCTGGAGAAATAGGCCTTGAATGCCACCCTAAAGACTTTGGATTTCCTTCAGGACGCAGGAGGCAACTGGTTGGCTTTTGAGCAGAGGAGAGATGTACCCGGTTAGTCTGGCAGACAGGAGGGAGTGAGAGCCAGATGCCTGGTCCAGCCCTTTGTTCAGTGATGTCTAAAATCAGTGCCTTTGGATGGTACCGGCCAAGAGGAAGGGTTACTGGTGGGTAGAGCAGGCGCCGTCACTGGGTTTGCTCCTGTCGGCTTATTATTTCCCTGTTATTGCATCTTGTTTTGCCTGTGGATCACGACGGTACAGCCAGGCCCCAGCAGAACCCTTCCTCGTGATGGAGGAACGCGGGCTCCAAAGCGGTTGGGCAGCTGTCCTTCTGAGGGGGGATGCCCCATTCCTCAGCCAGCATCTCCTGCCTCTGCACCAGAAGTAGGGACATGGGCCCCATTGGACGTCCTCTGGAGCCCAGAAGGCTCCCCACGCGTCACTGGAGCTTGGCCAACCTTAGTGTTGGCTTTCCGACATCACTGGGTTCATGCTTTCCTGCGTCCACTTTCACAGAATCATGGAAGTCGAGCACGGGGAGGGTCTTCAGAGGTCATCTAATCCACCGTCAACCCAAAATAACACCCCCTCTGACACTCCTGACAAGCGGTCATCCAGCCTGGGCGAGAAGACGTCCAGGGAGCAGAGCCCAGCACCCCTCCAGGCAGCCCACCTCATTCTTGGACGGCTCTCTGTGCCTGAGTGGGCCTCGTGGCTCCCCTCCCGTTGCTGCTCCTGGTTCGGCCCTCTGGGGCCAAGCAGAAGAAGTCCTGTCCCTCCCTAATCTCACAGACCTTCCCTAACAGACACCCAGCATGTCCCCACAAGGTAGAGCCCTAGGACAAACATCCCTGACTCCTTGCACTATTCTCATATGACCTGTCTTCAGGCCCATGGACTTTCGTTGATCTTTATCCATTCAGAATATGTGTTTCTCGTGTTCCTCAGAATTCCTCACGGTCATCATTCCTGGCGACATAGTAACATTCATTTCCTGCATCCACCACAGTCTGTCCACCATTCCCCAACGGATGGGCACAAACTCTCTTTCCAGCTTGTTGGTGCCCGAGCAGATGCTGCTATAAATCTTTGGGTGTCTCTAGGAACTTTATTTCTCCCCCTTGACCTCTTTGGGATATGTGTTCAGGAGTAGCAGGGAGGTGGCTCAGTAGATAGATAGAACATAGGATTTGCAGTCAGGAAGACCCGAGATCAAATCTGGCCTCAGGCCCTTGCTCACTGGGTGACCCTGGGCAAATCTTGTAACTCCTGCCAGCCTCAGTATTCTCATCTATAAAATGGGAATAATAATGGCACCTACTGCACAGGGTCGTTGTAAGGATCACATGAAATAAGGCATGTGGAGTGCTCTGCAAACCCACAGGCGCCATATTTGTTGTTATTGTTCAGTCATTTCAGTCGTGTCCAACTCTTGAAAAGATACTTGACATTTCCTTCTCTAGTTCATTTTACAGATGAGGAAATGGAGGCAAGCAGAGTTAAGTGGCTTGCCCGGGGTCACACAGCCAGTAAGTGTCTGAGGCCAGATTTACACTCAATTCATCTTGACTTCAGATCTGGTGCAGCTACAAAGAATTAATGAGTGATGATGATGATGATGCCTACTGCATGTTGAAGTTGTGGTCCACTAAAACTCTCAGATCTTTTTCAGATGAATTGATGTATAGCCAGCCTTCTTTCTTCTTATACTTCTGCAGTCATTTTTTTTCAGACCACAGTTTGACTATGTATTTTTCCTGTCTCAGCTTCATCTCGTTAGCTCAGTGGCCTAATCTGCCAAGACCTTGTCAAAAACTGCCCCTGACTCAGCTCATTTAACAAGGATGCCTGTATCTGGCACCGTGATCCCGGATCACCAAGGCAGTCCACGGGAGACCTCCGCTACACTGGGTCACTTTTGCCTGCATTGGGAATTGGGCCCTTCGTGGGTTTCAGATTCTGCTAGTTACACCAGAGTCCTGCCCATATCTCTAGAACTACGTTTACACAGGGATGGCGCGCAGAGCGTGTCAGAGGCTCTGCTGATATCTAGCTGTAGGAAGCAACATTCCCCCTAGTCTGCCGCCACAGTTACCCTGTCAGAAAAGGAAACAGTGTTATTCTGGCTCCGCTGTTGTTGCCAAAGCCTGGCTGTCTGTTTATGATCACTGCTTCCTTTTCTACATATTCATGGACCATCCTTTGAATAATGCGTACTTGAATTTTGCCAGGAATGAAAGTCAGGCTGACTAAACAATATTTTGTAGCCTTTATTCTGCATCCTTTTTTGAAAATCGAGAGAAAATTTGCCCTTCTCTAGCCCTTTGTCATTCTTTCTTTCTCCATTAACTTTCCAAATCTGTCTGGCTGAACAGTCACATCCTCCGGTCCTTCCAGTTTTCTGAGGTGTGGTACCCCTGGGCTTGATAACCTGAACTCGCTCCCTGCTTACCCTGGGTTTCAACCATTTCTCTTCTGCCCTTTCCAGGCCAAACATCCTTTTACTTGGCAGAGAAAACAAGCAAAAAGACAAAGAGAATTGACCAGCTCCCCGTCTCTTCTCCTCTGATGGCATCCCCTTCACGCTGAGTGGATCCTGCCCCTTTCTTTCAGCCCCCGCTTTTCTTCACTGACGCTTAAGATAGCTCACAGTCTTCTGGCTACTCTAGTTTCCTCCCAAGCACGGCTGTGCCAGCGTCAGCTCATACCTGCATCGAAGAGCCGATTGTTAAATGTTCCGAGTGAGCATTTCCACCTCAGAAATCGTCAGACCCTGCAAACCAGGGCTTGATTGTTTCATTGATTGTCTAGACTTAAGAAGGGGATGGACACAGTGTTGATCACGCAAATGATACCTAAAAATGTGCCGTGTGCACCTCCCCCCCCCTCCCCCCTCCCCCCTCCCACCAGAGAGCCAATTCTTAAACATTTAACAACATACTCCTGCTCTCAAGACCCAGCTAATTCTTCACTTTTGCATCCTTGACTGTTTATGTAGGACCAGGCTGTGCTTTTACAGACATCTTCTGGCACTACCTTTGTTTTCATCTTCTATGCATTTCTTTGAAAAATCTAAGTTGCAATAAGTCAGAGTTAATAAATTATTTGTGGAAGAATTCCCTTTTTGACAAGAACTTTGGGAAAACTGGAAAATGCATTTTCTATCCCAATAAGCTCAAAATGGACTTTGGACTCAAATATTAAAGGTGAGACCCTCAGAAAATGTGGAACACAATCAGCCCAGCTGCCATCCACAGCTGCAGGTAGACAGGGATCTCTTCTCTCAAAAGGAGATAGAAACAATCACAGAGAGTAACAGCTAACTTTGATTACTTGGAATTGTAAAGGTTTTGCGCAACTAAAATCAATGCAATTAGGATGAAAAGGGAACCTGTCACTTGAGGGGGAAAAAAACTGCCTCAAATATCTTTGATAAGGGTCTGCTATCCAAGACATAGAGGGGACTAACCCAAATATATAAGACCAACAGCCGTTCTAGAATGAATACACAGATGAAGATTGTGAACAAAGAGTTCTCCAGAGGAGGTTGACAAACTATGAATGACTGGATGGAAGATGCCCCCCATCTTTACTGTTGCAAGGAATGAAAATCAGAACAACCTGGAGGTTTCACCTCACACCCAGCAACTTGGCAAAGATGACAAAGCTGGGAATAATGGACACTGGAGGTACATTAGTACTCTACGGATGGAGCCATGAATTGGTCAAGTCATTCTGGAAAGCATTTCGGAACTGTGTTAAGAAAAGAACTAAACCATCTAGATCCTTTGACCCCAATATCTTCTGGCTAAGTATATGCCCCAGAGAGGTCAAAGATAAAAATAAAGACCCCCTATACACCAATATGTATAAGAGCATCTTTTCTAATCACAAGTAGATGCCCATTGATTGAGGAATGGCTAAGACATTCTGGTATATGCCTGCTAGGGAATATGGCTGCACTCTGAAAATGATGAATAAAAAATTCAGAGAAGCATCAAAGTCTGAAAGGAATGTATGCAAAGAATGAGGAAAATAACGCGGAGAACTGTGGCGATATAAACAGGAAGGCCAGTCGCCCCCAAATCACAGCTGAACATTATGTGATTAGAATATCCCAGCTTGGCTCTGCAGGAGAAACCCGAGCACCATCTCCTTCCTCCTTGGCAGAGCTGGGGGACTGTGGGGGAAGAACACTTTGTACGAATGGGTTGATGAGTTGGTCACTTTTGATTGATTGTTTCTTTTTTTAAGTAAGAGGTAGCTCTTTGAGAAGGGGTTGGGGAGTATGTTGGGAAGCGTCGTTGATATCAAAACTAAAGGTATTAATAAAATTTTCAAACTCAAAGCTGGTCATGAATTTCCCGTATGTCCACCCTGGCCGATTTAGACAAGTCCTCTTTCCTCATTTGCTGGACCGGCTTCTCATAGTGTATTCAGTCTCGTTCTTGAGAAGGTTCCCATTCCTCCCTTTAGCCCCAGGGGCCAGGGTCCCTTCAGATCGTTAGACCTCACAGTCCTGCCTGTCCTTCCTCTGGACCCTTGGAAATCGAAGATGTGTGTCAGACTCTGCCCGTTTTTCATAAAGAGTCATTTCTCAGAAGATAAACTAGCCCACTGCTGGTCCCTCCCTGTTTTGAAGGAGAAGTTCTCCCAAAGGTGATCGAGCCTCCTTAGCTGCCCTGCTTTCAGCAGCAAGGGAAGCTCCAGTTCTGTGGAACTGTGAAGCGTTTGGTCCTGGGAGACTGGAGAAGAATGAGGGCCGGCTTCTGTTCCCCAAAAGCTCACAGTGAAGTGAGAGGGGACTCAGCGCACACAGCCCTAAACTGGAAGTCTGAGGAAGCATGGCCAGTCCTCACACCAGACACCCAGACACCCCCTGGGCTGGACTGGACCATAGGCCACGGCACCCTGGGCCACCTGCCTGAGCTCGCCTCACCTGTCCTGGCCTAGCCTTTGAGAGAGAGCCAGGGCCCCTCCGCTCCAAGGTGAGGTTACCAAGGAGGCTCCTTCTGAAAAGAATCCATTGTCTGCTGCTAGCCCTGCTCTGGGGCAGACAAGGGACCGCCTCGCCGCTCGTTTTCTCTTTGTGGGACCTCCTTCAGCCTCAGTTTCCTCGCTTGTCAAATGAATGGCTTGGGCTAGCTAACCTCTGCGGTCCCATCCAGTTCTAAGAGCCAGAAATCCCCAGGTGAAGAAGGCGCCTGGGGGTGATCCATGCTATGGGATCCTCTCCTATACTTGCCTGGAGCCCAGGGATGAAGGTCCACTGGTCAGGGCTGTGCTCTCTCCCTTCCCCCACTTCCTCCCTCTCCCCCAACCTGGCCCCCGCTCTCCCCTTGAACTCACAACTTAGAAATCCAGCACACCTGGTACTTGGGTCTCAATGCACAGATATTCCAGCAGAATTTCTAAAGCCACGTTGTATTCTGTTGGACAGGTGTGTGACTCGTATCCCACTGACGTCTATGTCCCCAGGTCAGCCACCGCGCACATCATCATGGGCAGCTCCAAGTTCCGAAGCCGCCGCCGGTTCCCTGCCTTGTCTTATTACTGCAAAGACACCAATGTGAGTCTCAAGTTCCCAGCTCTCTTCTTCTTGGCCTGCCCTGCCCCGGGCCTCTCGGTTGTCTCTGTTGGGGGGTGGGCTCAGAAATGGGCTCTGTCCTTCTGATCAATGTTGTCCAGCCCTGCTGTGGCACAGGACGCTGGCCCTGCCAGCCTAGGTCTGCGTCCTGGTGCCTCATAGCCCGGCTGTGATGATAAGCCCCTCCACACACCCTCAGTCCCTGGGCCCAGATGAGAGCCTTGCAAGCTGTGGGCTTCATGCATGGGCCTCTCGGGAGACCATGAGCACGTCCCCAGAGTGTGGCTGGAGCCTTCCGTGGATCCGGAGAAGCAGCGTGTTCCTGGGACATTGTCAGGGTCACCAGTTTGGGGTCTGTGGAGGGTGGGTCTAATCGATGGAGATGCCTAGAAAGTTTCAAAGCCCCATGGGGCCGGTTCAGTGGAAGGAGCAGCACCCAGCTCTGAGCTTGGAGACCCGGGTTCGAGGGCTGGCTCTGCCACTCCCGTGTGTCTCAGCTTTTCTCTAAAATACGCTTGGCACTGTGCCTGGCACAGAGTAAGTGCAGAATGAAGGCTTGCTGTCTGTTTGAATAGACTGAATGCCCTCTAGAATCCCTCCCTGCTTGGACGGGCCATTATTGTGTGGTAAGCCACCATAAAGTAATGAGATGGAGTCGGAGGGGGCGTGTAAGCTCGTTTCCTAGGCACTCCAGCCTAGAAATCCAGAAATGGTTTCCAGGATGGCAGTGATCGCTCACTCAGAAGGAGCACACCACTCCTCTGGATGGGCATTTGCCTTTAAAGAGCTGGCCTCAGTCTTTGGTAGTCTTACCCCACCCAGAACCGTGGAAGGCCTTTCCACTCTGGGCAGATGTGTTTCCCATCGGCCACACAGCTCCGGGCACTGGAGGAGGGAATGACTTACCTACAGTCGCCCAGCTGAGCCATGGCTGAGCCTGGGCATGAGCTGCGAGTGTCCTGGCTCAGAGCCCGTCTGCTGACATGAAGGTTCTCCTGACGCTTGTGAGGGGTAGCTCAGGCACTCAGTGTGCACATGGCCTGTGTGGTGCCCAGAGGCCCTGGGGCCATGGCCAGCCTTGCAAGCCGGGATTCTGTTCCACCCCCCCGCCCCAGGCCTCCATCTGCCGGAGCAGCCAGCCTTTGTCTGGCTTCAGTGCCCGCTGTCTTGAGGACGAGCAGATGCTGCAGGCGATCCGGAGAGCCAATCCTGGGAGTGACTTCATGTACGTTGTGGACACGAGGCCTAAGGTGAGGCAGGGACCCAAGGTGGGACAGTGACTGCACCTCGGGGAGAGGGGGGTCCTTGGCTTGGGTGGTCCAGCCCCAGGACGATGCTGGTAGTTCTGCTTCTTCAGCTGTTCTGTGACTTCCTAAATGTGGCCAAAGCTGCCCACCGAGGGCAGCCCTCCACTCTGGAGGGAGCTGGCCATCGCCAGCTGCTGTGGCCAGAGCAAGACACTGCCCTTTGATCCACAGCCTGTGTGAGGCAATGGGGCTCAGGGCCAGGGTCCAAACCCCGCCTCTCACCTTCATCACCACGGACAAGTCCCTGTCTCTCCCTGGGCCTCAGTCCCCTCCTTTTCAAAGGAGGGGGTTGGGCAGGATGGCCGGTGAGGGCCCTTCCAGCTTCCCACCACGGTTCCTAGGACCTCCAACATTGAACCTGACGCCCATCCCAGGAGTACTGGGAAGCAGAATCAGCCGCACAGACTCACTGGCTGCGGAACGTGCTCAAGTCAGTAAAGGGGAGTCATCATTCAGCTGGTGGTCAATGTCTGACTGGTGGCCACAGGCTCAGTGACATCGACTCTGAGCCCTTCTTTGTAAAGCCAGCACCAGGCATAGCCCTCTGCGCACAGCAGGCTTGGAATACGTGTTTGTTTGGCTTGAAGAGCCCAATGGATGGATGGATGGATGGATGGATGGATGGATGGATGGATGGAGGGAGGGATGGATGGAGAGATGGATGGATGGATGGATGGAGGGGTGGATGGAGAGATGGATGGATGGAGGGATGGGAGGATGGATGGAGGGATGGATGGAGAGATGGATGGGTGGATGGATGGATGGATGGGTGGATGGATGGGTGGATGGAGGGATGGATGGAGGGATGGATGGAGGGATAGAGAGATGGATGGATGGATGGAGGGATGGATGGAGGGGTGGATGGAGAGATGGATGGATGGATGGATAGAGGGGTGGATGGAGAGATGGATGGAAGGAGGGATGGAGGGATAGAGGGATGGATAGATGTATGGAGGGATGGATGGATGGATGGGTGGGTGGGTGGATGGAGGGATGGATGGAGAGATGGATGGATGGAGGGATGGATGGAGATATGGATGGAGGGAGGGATGGATGGGTGGATGGATGGATGGAAGGAGGGATGGAGGGATGGGTGGATGGATGGGTGGATGAAAAGGGATTTATCAGGTGCCTAGAACTGTCCTAAGCACTAAGGATACAAATAGAAAAGATAGACAGACCATAACCTCAAGAAGCTCACACTGTAATTGAAGGAAATGAACCATGTCACAGTGGCAGAGTAGATGGGAAGAGCCGAAGCCTTGGGGAGAATGGCAAGGCCCAGAGGACTCTGGTGAGGTCTGGTGATCATCCATCTCACTGGAGGGTTTGTAGTTGATGACACCCACAGCCCTTTTGTTCTTCCTGCCTGGTGGTGTCTGGGCCTCCCAAGTTGGGGGAGGAACAAAGGGAAAGGAAGGGAAAACAGAGACCCCCGGTGGTGCTTCCCCCTTCCCCCACAATGGCCCTGATGGGGCCTTAGGGCCAGGGGCCCCACGTCGGAAGTGGGGACAACTGTCCACACGGGGAACTCTATGACTTAAGTCAAACAGCGGGAGGCAGAGGTTAGGGCAGAGAGGGACATTTCCTGCTGAGGCTCAGTAGAAAGACTGCTGGCTTTCGGGTAAGAGGACCTAGCTTGAGGTCTTAGTTGTCCTGCTAAGGATGTGGCCTTGGCCAAGCCCCTTCCTCTCTCTGACCCTCATTTCCTCCTCTAAAGTGGCTGATGCTTAAGGGCCCTCCCAGGTCTGCCAGATGTGTAACCTTTGCCGTCCGACATCGGGCACCAGATTCCTATAGAGGACTGGCCTTAGGGAGTTCATGAGTGGGGCCCGAACCCTCCCTTGGTCTCTGACAAGCTTTGGTCTCTCAGGGCCTCCCCCACCCCCAAGCTCTCTGCTGTGCCAGGGGCTGCTGTTCTTGCTGCTGGGGGAACAGGAGACAGGAGACAGCCTCTCTAGAAAAGACCTGTGGGGAAGGAGGTGGAGCAGGAGAGCTCTGCTCACCGCCCCTCCCGCTGTGGCCAGGCACACCCTGCTGACCCAGAAGCCACGTTCCTAGAGTTTGGCTGTCCTCCTGTCCCCCTCCCACTGGGGCCCCTTGGTGCCCCAGCTCCGTGCCCCTAACTGATTGCTTTCCAAAAGCTCTGGGCAGAGCGAGTGAAGAGGCTTGCTGGGTAGGAAAACAGGGGAGAGAGCCAGAAAAAGACAGACAGACAGACACACAGAGAGAGAGAAAGAGAATGATCTGGCCATGGCCAGGCAAGCCCCCGGTGCTGGGGGCTTTTTCAGAATTGGTTCGCAGTGAACTCGTCACAGCTCAGCAGTTAGTCTAAGGGGCCAGGAATCAAGGCCTCTCCACTGTGAAAGCCTTCAAGGAAATGCAGTGGCAGCCGGAGCTGGGCCAATCCCAGATTTAGCTGATCAGGAGGCACAGTTTGGGGGAGTATTTTTAGCTCTGGGATTATTTCTTCTTAGTGACAGATAACAGTTCTGACACTGGGCCATTAAGGAGCCAAAAAACTGTGCCCTTGACCTTTTGTTCCCACCCCACCTTTCTCTCCCCCTCTCTCTGCCCCCTCCTTCCCGCTCTCTCTCATTCCTTCCTCCCTCTCTCCTCCCACCTCTTTCTCTCTCTCCCTCCTCTCTCCCTCTTGTTGTCCTTTCTCCCTCTATCTGCTCCCCTCCCCTCCCCCTTTCTTCCTCTCCCCCCATCTCTCTCATCTCTGCGCGCGCACGCACACGCACACACACACACACACACACACACACACTTGTGCGCGCCCTGCAGAGGCTGCTGGGACTGTAGTCCATAGAAAGACCTCACCTGCAGATCTTTGTCCCTCAGGATCTAGCTTGGCGGGAGGGGAGGGTGTGCCCCATACAAGTCTCCATTTCTCTTTGGGAGAAGAACAGCTGCCTGTGTGCCAGCTGGGGTTGAGAGTGGGCCAGGCCTGCCTGGTCCCCAGCCTGAGCCCACGTGCCCCACCTTTCTCATTGCTCACCCTCAGAGAAGATTAGGAGAGAGGGATCTGAGCCATCTGTCACGGGGGGCAGCAGCAGACGCACACAGTGGGTCTCTGTGGAAAGGAAATGAATTGCACTTCAGCTTGAATGTTCTGTGACAGGGTCAGGGTAATGGAGGGCCAGAGTGAAAGTGGTGCTGCCCTCCCCCTGGGACTGGAGGTGGCTAGCCGTGTGACCCTGGGCAAGTCCCTTCCTCTGCCTATGCCACAGTGTCCTCATTTGTAAAATCTCCTGGGACGCCCCTTCCCAGGCAGGCGCAGGCAGTGAGGCAGCCAGGCGGCGGCGTCCTCCCTTAGAGGAATCCCTGTTTCCAGACTTTGGTCCCCGCTTCTTCCTCAGAGGGGTAAAGGGAACTCTCCTTAGGAGGGGCTTCCTCCTGGCAGCCACCACTTGGGGGATGTGGCCGGAGATCCCCGAGAGGGCACTGAGTCCTCGGCCCCTTCTGAGGACCCAGGATGCAGGGACTCAGTCCGTCCAGGACTTTTCTGGCCATGCTGTGAAGGTACCCCAAGTCTAGAGCCCAAAGGGACCCCCTCCTAGACCATCCAGGCCAGTGCTCTCCCCTTTTACAGGTGAGGAAACTGAGGCCCAGGAAGGCTCAGTGACTTGCCCAGAGTCACAGGGTCCGTAAGTAGCAGAGGAGGGATTCAAACCCAGGCCACCTGATGCCAGAGGCAGCCCACGCGCACCTGTCACGTCCTCTGGTCTGTAGACCAGGGGTGGGCTCATTCTTTGGCTTTGTGGCCCTGCAGTGCCTGGCACCCAGTAGGCACTAAGTGTCTCTTGAGTTGAGCCGAAGTGAAGCTTCCTCTTTGCAAGTTGTTCCTTCCCCCATCAGATTGTAACTCCTCGAGCGCAGGCCCTGGGGTCACTGGGCCCTCCCTGAGTCTTGGTCGCACATGACTCAGTTTCCTCATCTGTCAAATCTGGGTGTTGGAGTAGATGGCTCCTGGGATTCCTTCCAGCTCTGGACTGATGAGGCGGTGCCCCCTCTGTGCCTCAGTTTCTCCTCTGAACAATGAGGGGTGGCCCCTGAGGCCCCTCCTAGCGCTGGACCTAGGATCCTGGGCACCAGCACCATCTTACTCTGCTGGGCTGCTTCCACTGGCAGGTCACAGGCTGCCACCTTGTGGTGTGCTGGGTGAAAGGCCAGACTCCCGAGGGGCTGTCCAGTAGGGTCTGAGCTTCTCTGAGTTTGTTGATGAATCCGGTTTGACGTGGCCCCTGAAGCTGCCGGGCCCCCTTCTCTTCCCTTAGGGAACGGCAGGATCGATGGTGCTGCCGTGTGCCTCGGTTCATGAGGCGTGGAGAAGCAGGAGATGGAGTTTTTCCAGTTTGGGGCAGGGTGAAAGAGCTGGCAAGTGGCCCCAGCCAGCCGCCATGGGCTGGATCAGCGAGTCATGCCATGACGGGCTTCGAGCCTCTACGGCCGTGGCGCCATCAGACGCTGTGAAACGAGGCCTGTCAGAGTCCCAAGGCCCTTCCAGCCAGCCCCGCCATCCAGACCTCCCTCCAAGGCTTGGCTTTGCCTCGCTTCAAGTGACCAGTCATTCTTCCAGGGACTCTGGACCGCCATTGCACGCGTCCACAGCTATCTTCCAATCACTAGAGGTTTTCAAGACTCTCTCTTCCCTGCCAGAGGCAGGAAGGGATACAGCTTTCAGAAAGGAGCGCCCAAAGGACTCCAGGGCCGCAGTGTGAAGGACCACCGCTGGAGCTGGGCCAGCTGGTGTGGCCCTTGGCTTCCTTCCACTGAACGGAGAAGATGGCACTCGCCCACTCCAACAGGCCACTAGGGGACACCACAGGGCACAGCGTGCTGGGCCTGGAGGCCAGCCTCAGCCGCTCCCTAGCTCTGTGGCCCAGAGGAAGTCATTTAGCCTTTGCCTCAGTTTCCTCGCCTGTAATATGGGAATAATGATAGTACCCCCCCCCCAATCTTGAGGATTGAGCGAGGTATTGGTTAAGCGCTTTGCAAGCCCTTGGGGACCAGGTCTGGGCATCAGTCACTCCTCTAAGTACCTGCCACCTCTTCTCACTGTTTGTACCCGTGTCCTTGTCAACAGCAGCAACGTCTGAGGGCAGCTTCCTCCTGCCTTCTGCCCAGGGAGGCGAGTCGTTCCGTTTTTGTCCTCCCTGTTCCACAGAGGGGTAGTGACTTGCACAAAGGTACCCTGCCAGGGGGTAGCAGAGCCCACCCTCTGCCCCAGGCCTTTGGGTTCCACAGACAGCCCCCCCTCCAGCTGGGGAAGGTAGAAACCCATTACAAACCCAACAAGAGCCCAGAGGCGATAGATGTGGAGCCAAAGGCCGCTGAGACCGGGGCACTCACTGCTCCCATCCATACCCGAAGAGGCCCTCCACCCCTGGAAAACAAGCAACCATTCCATGTTAATCTGGGAGTGGTCTGCCTGTCAGAGCTTGGAGACCGCCAAGGCCCAAGGATGGGGAGCTCACTACCTCGCGAGGCAGCTCTCATTGATAGAAAGTTTTTCTTCACTTAAGCCTAAGTGGGCCTCTTTATCACTTTCTCCATTGTTCCTGGGTCTGCCCTTTGGGGCCAAGCAATTCAAGTCCAATCTAACTCTTCCTGATCGTCCTTCAGATATCTGAACATAGCTCCCATCTCCTTGAATCTTCTCTGCCCCAGCCTAAACACCCCCGGTTCCTTCAGATGATCAGATGCTAGGAAGACAGCAGCATTTATGAAGCGCCTACTGAGTTCCAGGCGCCCTGCTAGGATACCTGTTCTGGTGATGGAGAGAAGGGCAAAATCAGACGCTGCTTGCAAGGAGCTCACTTTTTAAAAATGTACAGATTTACGTAATGCTTTATTTCCCCCAATTACCTGTAAAAAGAGCTTTAGCGTTCACCTCTTTTTTTTTTTTAATTTGCGTTCCAAATTGTGTCCCTCCCTCCCTCCCCTGCCGAGGAGCTCACATTCTAATGGGGAAGACAACGTGCCCAGCACTGTGTCTATGCAAGACATATGCGGTGGAAAGGGTTGGAATCTCGGAGGGAGGGGGGGAGCGGAGGGCTGGGCCGTCAGGAACGCACATCCCCCCCCCCGGGCCTGCCGCTGCGTGACCAGGCTTGCTCTGCCTTGCAGCTCAACGCCATGGCCAACCGCGCAGCGGGCAAAGGGTACGAGAACGAGGATAACTATGCCAACATCAAGTTTCAGTTCATTGGCATCGAGAACATCCATGTGATGAGGAGCAGCCTGCAGAAAATGCTGGAAGGTGAGTGCGCCCCTCGCTGCTCCCCCACCACTGCGGGGGCCGCCACTGACTGTTGAGCTCCTGCTCCGGCCAGGCCGCCTGGCCGGGCCACAGACTCACCAGGGCTGGGTGCCCTGAAATGCCTGGGGATGTGGGGCACTGGCATCATTCCTTATGGGGGACTCGATGGCCCCACGAGGGCTAGGTGCCCGGAGATGCCTGGGAACGCAGGGCACCGGCATTATCCTCCCCCCCCCCCGGACGGGGCCTTGCCACGTCAGGGCCAGGCGGTCTCTGGGAACGAGTGCTCCTGTGAGCAGGGTGGCCCTGTGCTTCTTGTACTTTTAATGGAGGCATTATGGGGCAGCGTGAAGGACCCTGGCTCTGAATCCGGAGGACCTGGGTTCAAATCCCAGCTCTGTTCATTACCAGCTGTATGACCTTGGGCAAGTCTGCAGGCCTCAGTTTCCTTATCTGTAAAATCAGTTCTAGGCCTTGGTCCTTGGATTTGTTTGGGTGCCTGTCGGGTTATGGGATCATGGATGGGTCTGGCCCAACTCCCCCTGACCCCTCTGATTTTATAGATGCAGCCTCTGAGGTCTGGGGAGGGGCAGGGATGTGCCCCCAAGGGCCATGAACCCAATGGAGAGAAAAGCCAGCAAAGGGCAGTTGTCCCTGGCCGCATGGCTGCAGCAGACGTCTCCTGAAAGGGCTGACACCATCCAGTCTCTGCATGTCCCCTCAGGCTCTCTGAACCTCTGGACGGAGCTCTGTCTGTCTGTCGGTGCTGTGGTCCCTGCCGCATAGGACCCTGGGAGGCCTCTAGCCCAGCCATCCCTGAACAAGAGTCATTTCTCTGCAAATTCCCAGTGGGGCAAGCGACCGTCCAGCTTTTGGTCAGAGACCTCCAGTGGGGACAGCAGGCCCCACTCCCCTCCCCAGCGTCCATCCACTTTGGCTAGCGTGAATTGTTGGGAAGCTTTTCTGGACTGAGGTTCATAGGAGCACAGAACTTAGAGCTGGGGGGTCCTTCAAGGCCATCTGGTTCAACTCCCTCACTTTAAAGAGAAAGAAACTGAGGCCCAGACAAGGGCAGTTAAGTCAGTAAGCATTTCCTAAGTGCCTGCTGTGTGCCAGGCACCGTGCTCAGCAACGGAGATGCAAAGAAAGGCAGAACAAACCACGTCACTGGCTCCGGTCATAGAGGAAGCGAGTGACAGATAGGATTTGAACCCGAGTCTTCTCCCTCCACATTTAGCCCTCTGCCCTGGTACCACTCTGGGGCAGCAGGTGGGGTGAGACTGAGTTAACAGAATGACTACCCAACAGCTTGGATAGAATCTCTCAGTTGGCGCTGTTGGACCCAAGCTTCAGCCGCCATGATTGTACATGGCCCAGATACTCGTGGTCTTAGCAGGCACTGGGAGGAAGACAGGAAGCAGCTCCCAGGACTGAAGCTGGTGTTCTAGGCCTGGTTTGACCAGACACAAGAGCAGGACCATCCCTAGTCCAGGCCTCTCTAAAGGCAGCCCCAGGTTGCATGGGCTTTTGGGGCTGACCTATGATATTGCCGATTCATCTCACGCATGCAGGCCACTGAAATCCTGAGATCTTCCTCCAAACTGCCGTCTAGTCATGCCTCTCCCATTTCATGTGTCACAATGCTTTCTAACTTGAATGCGAGCCTCTACGTGGACACCCAGTACGTTCCAGCATGGAGCCCTGGCCCATCTCGGGCTTTGGAATCCCACCTGTCATCCACTGCACTGGTACTTCCTGCAGCTCTGTGGCGTTGTCACCTTTGAGAAGCGTACGTCTTTTCCTTTATGAAGTCACTGATAACGTGCTAAACAGCCCAGGGCTTCCTCGTCCTCACCGTATGAACTGCCTGCCTCCATGTATGTTCCTGCGTGGCACGAATGTCCTGTTGGGCCCCTTCTTATGCGTGGTCACCACAGCCTGCTTCTGGCCCCTGGCTGTCTGACGCCCATTACCCTTGAGTCACCTGCAAGTGAGAGTCTTCTAAGAGCATCTTCTTCCGTGGCTCAGCGCTGTCGAGTATCACCTGGAAACAATCTCTGCTACTAAGATGGCCCAAGTGTGACTCCATGCATTCACTTCCTCTTGTTTGGGTCTCAGCCCAACCGCTGCCCAGCCACAGCACCTGTGTTCACCACAGCTACACCTGTTAATGGATTAAGTCCTTCAGACTGTACATCATAGGGTGCACAATCCATCTCTTTCATCCACTTGATTTTCCTTGTATGGGTGGCTAGGGTGGTTCATTCTGAATGAAATGCATTTTGAATCCAATTTTGTTCAGCAAACGTTGATTATACTTCTATTTATGTGCCAGACATTGAGGCAGGAGAAGGGAAAGAAATAAGAATTTATATAGAGCCCACTTTGTGCTAGGCACTGTGCTAAGTGTTTTTTAAAAATTTTACAATTAGGGGCAGCTAGATGGTGCAGTGGATAGAGCACCAGCCCTAAAGTCAGGAAGACCTGAGTTCAAATTCGACCTCAGACCAAACACTTGACACACTTATTAGCTGTGTGACCCTGGGCAAGTCACTCAATCCCAATTGCCTAAAAAAAAAAATTTACAAATATTATCTCATCTGATACAAAAACAAAAATAAAATAGTCCCTGCCCTCAAGAAGTTTCTTTTCAGCTAGAGGAATATATGATATAATATATATGCAGAGGGTAACAAGGTAATTGAGGAGGGAGAGACCAGTGTCTGGGTGGGCAGAGGAGTCAGGAAAGGCTTTAGGGGGAAGCCTCTGAACTGAGCCTTGAAGGAGACTAGACAGAGGTGACAGGATATGAATTCCGAGTGGGGGGCCCAGCCTGTGCAAAGGCATGGAGGTGGGAGATAGGGGAGAGATCTTTGAATTTAGGGAGTATGTGGCAGGCCAATTTGTCCAGAATGTAGAGGACACCAAATAAGTTCAGACAGGCTGCTAGGAATGAGATTGTGAAGGGCTTTGAAATGATATGATAATGAATAAATGAATAAATATGATAATGAATAAATGATAATATGATAATGAATAAATGAAATGATAATTTGTGTTTGTCCGCAGGCAAGAGTGAGGCCCTAGAGTTTAGTGAGCAGAGGAGTGACAGGACATGGTCAGACCCAGTCTTTAGGCAGATCACCCAGGCAGCCACGTGGAGGATGCTCTGGCCAGTTCTTCTCCTCCCGGATGGATACTTTTATGGTAAATTAGGCTGTAGTTTGTCTCACCTCTTACCTAGCCCTTAGTCAATGAATGGGTGTTGCCTCAGACAAACCAAGACCTGGGAAAGGCTTTAATTCAGAAAGGCCAAGGTCATGCACTGCAGCCCGGGCCATTCCCACTGGACTTGGATGCCTCTGGAGCAGAGAGTGTGGCTGAGTGAGCAGCTCTGTCTCACTTCAGTCCAATTCACATGCAAGTCAAGATGTCACCCATGATGTCATTAGTCTTCTTTGAGAACAAGGATGAATAACAACTACAACATCTGAGTATATTAAGACCCTTGACTTGTTCTAACAAAGATCAAATTAGTGTAAAGTTAAACGAAAGAACGAGGGGGGAGATAGGGAATGCAGCTGAAACAATTCAAACTTGATCTATTCAGACAACAGACTGATGAGGAAAGCTAGGTAATGGGTGGTAGAAAGGACATTTTCATTAAGGAGAATAATTTTACAGAGATGTTTAAACAATGCGATTCCGCTGTCATTACAAAGAAACCAAACGAGCCTCAGAAGCTCCTCGGTCAGCAAACTCTCGACTTACTTGTCAGTCAGAAAGAGGTAGCCGTCAAAGGCAATGCCAGTTTGCAAGATAAACTCTTTTTTAAAATATTGCAAAGGATTTTAGCAGATTAGGAACAATATCACGTAAAGTGGAAAGAATTAGCAGAAGGTAAAAGCAGTTTAAAGCAAGCCAGGTGAGACATTCAACTAAGTAAGTCATTGCAAGGGCATTAAAGGTAAAAATGCAAAAAGGACAACAAACAGAAAAAAAAATGGAAAAGATCTGCAAAGAGTTGTCACTGTCAATAGAGACACTGTACTTGGACCCGAACATCACAGTTCCATATGTGCTTTTGAGGAGCCAGAAATGATGATAGAAAAGAACATAGATGAGAAAAGTAGCAAGATTAGACCAAAAATACATAGACAAAATCTGTGCTGGAAGGGACCCAACTGGGAAGGCATTGAAGGTTTAATTCATAAGGTATTTGAAAGAGGGAAATATATACACACACACACACACACATATACACATATATACATATATATATATACACACACACACACACACACACATATATGGGGGGAGGGGGAGGGAGAGAGAGAGAAAGAGAGAGAGAGAGAGAGCCCCAGAGATTATTAGTCTACTGCCCTGGATGCCATTGTGATGGCTGGTGTGGGCGCTGAGTGCTAGCATATAGTAACGGAGTCAGCCATCCCGGCTTCTTCCTCTGCTTTCTTCCATGGTAGAGAAGAACAAGCTGACATAGTTAATTACTTAATTAAGGGAGGTATAATGTATTGTTTGGCCAATAGATGGTGCTGCAGCAACCTGAGCTGGTTCTCAGGTTCAGTAGAAACCTAGTGATGTCATCTGGAATTTGCCCCCAAAGTTACCAAAAATGAAATCCCTCTTGTCTTTGTTCCCACTCAGCCCCCATTTTCCTCAAACATGCCCCCTCAATTCATAAGATTCAACAATAACTACTAAGAGTTAGGTGATTTTTTAAAAATTAAATTTTTATTGTATTTTCAGATCTGTATTCTCTCTCTCCTGCCTCTCCACCCTCCACCCCCAAATGAGAAACTAAGAAAAGCAAAATCTCCTGTTGCATCATATTGACTAATTTCTGTACCCCTCCTCCCCTCTTTCCAACACCCTTTTATGTAGAGTGTAAGTCTGTTGAGGGCAGGGACTGTCCTACTTACTCATATTTGTATCCCCAGTACTTAGCACAGTGTCTGGTATACGGTAAGTGCTTTCAAAAT